ATCTGACTTATTTCGATTTTACGCCCTTTTTTGGGAAATCATCAAAATCGCTGTGATTTCCTCGAAATGGAGTTGAACAGTACCTGATAGCCCGAACGAACATAGTAAAGGCTATATTATTCTTCATGTGCAATGAATGAATGCTGTTGAATGGCAAAAAATATGGTTCATAAGATGGTTTCTGAAAGATTGTAGTGAAAAGTTGACCATCTGGATTTTCCATATGTAAATCGATAAAATCAGCTGTTGAACTTATAGTTTCTGATAATTTGATGTTTTCTTCGAAATGATACTGTCTATCGATTGGCTTGAATAAATGTCGAATAGGCCAGTTAATTGCGGTGAATAGATCATCAATATATCTAAAATATAATCCATCACTATTATTTATTTGCTTAACTATATCTCGTTTATTAAAATAACATAACAATTGGCGATAGTCAATGTAAGAGGAGAACCAATTGCTCCTCCGTGAACTTGATGATAGTATTAGCCATCATAAGGGTGTGGGGTGTAGACGATAATCGTCATACCCACACCCACATCCTTACTTATCGATTGGTACAATTTGAAGACATTGAAACAAGTATAATTACTCACAGAAAAACTTTAATTTAAATGTATTTTAATTCTGAACAAAGCACAATATTTTTGGAGGACGTTAAAAATTAATACTTTTCTTAAAAGAAAAACGTTTTCTTTTAATAAGTGTCTTTGTTCTTTTGTTCATCTCTCTTTCTTTGTATTATTTATCTATTTATTCTTTCTTTCTTGTATAATTATTCCATTTTTTCTGACTGATGATGTTATGAGTAAATAACGAAACATCTGAAATAAAATGATAAAACGGTATCGATCATTCTCTTATTCATACTGTAACTCAAATCATTATTGCATGGACACGTTTCGTATATTCAGTTGTGAGTTCAATCGAACTTTGACCGTCGACAGAACAAGTGCAACAAAATCTTCCGTTCGAAGTAAAAAAAATCTTCCATCTGTGCAGATAATCGTCGACTACACTGAGTTTCAAATAGAACAACAAGCTAATCCTTAAGCTCAACAAGATACACGGTCCATATAGAAAAATACAAATATCGCCAAATGTACGACACATCTAATATTTACTTCATCTTATTGCCTTACTTTTTGTTTCGTTTGCAGCACTCGTTGGTATTACACTAAATGATATATTATCATACATTTCACCTCTTTATGGTGGTGTAACATCAGATTGAGCTCTACTGAATATGATCGGTGCTGGAAGCCTGATAGATTTATTGGAAAATGGGGATCAAATAATGTCTGATCGGGCTTTTGCTCTTGATCCTAAACATTCACATTTATCACTCATTCATTCACCATTTTTTGAAAGGAAAATCACAACTGTCTCCAAAAAAAGTCGTCGAAACACATTATTGCACGTCATCAGATTCATGTGGAACGATGCATAGCAAGAATAGAAAACTACAAGCTGTTCAACGGTGTTATTCCAATGAAATCAATTTATCTATTGAATTTTTGGTTCTATAGATGTACATTTTTTACTATTTTTGAGGAACCTCTTGTTAAAATCGTCTGATATTTATTAAAATAAACTTTTGCTAGTAAAAAGCGATTATTCTTTTGAAACAGTTCACATACAAAAAATCATTTTTGTGATAAGCTCAGTTGCTGTCTATTCAAACATATCTTAGTTTTTGCTATTCTTGCTTGCGACGAAAATGAGAAATAAGCATGAGTGTAACTTCTTCATCCTTCGACTATTAATCGTTTTCCTAAGAAATAAAAAAACGATAACATCAAAGAAATTAGAAGACCAAATGGGAGGAAGAATAGGCAACGTGGTAAGCGAACTGCTTTTAATGCAAACAAGATGATGAAGAAAGATAGATGAAAGAAAAGAGACCGCCCTTAACAACAAGGCGAGCTTGTATGACCATTGTTTGAGCTCATACTGAGCTGATGAGCAGGCTTTAATAAGATTAGAAGAAAACGTAAAAAGATTCGTCCTCATGGACCTTTTGTGCCAAGTTGTAACTATTGTATTGAATTTTCCGCTCATTTTAGGCATTGATGGAAAACTCGAAGAAAGCAAATTCGATCTCAGACTTTGTTTCTACATAAGTCTAATGATCCTTAGAATATCTTCAAAGCGCTAGCCCGAATAAATTCTTGTTTCTCGAAATATTGAATTTCTATTTTTTACGGCTTAAACTTCCAGGATAAACAAAACAACATTAAGCCTATCTACAGCCAAGACTTAAGGTCGAAATTCCATTATTTGATTGTTTCAGTGACTACTAAAAAAAAGGATTTAAAACTTAGTAAAAAGGTCATAATTAAGTTCAAATTATGGTTAAAAATTCAAGTAGTTCCATAGTTAGCAATAAACGAAATACACAAATGGGAAAATTTTAATAGACAATTCGGATTAGACTCGACTCGGATGAGACTCATTGAACAGAATTAAATCAAATTATTCTATCTTAATGAAAATTTCCATGGAAATTTAAGGCATTCTTCACGTTTTCAATAGTGAAAGAAATATTGTATATTTTAAGCAGATATGTTTTATTTTTATATTCAAAAGATGTATTCATTCAAATTATATCTAATGTTTATTTTTAACGACAACTAGATTAGTCTTTTCCAACATACAGTTTTATTCCATTTTCTTACAATAAACAGAAGGATGAAAAAAAAGAAAACATCACAGTTATTAAGGAAGAATGCGACACAAATATTGCTATATATTAAAGTTACTTATAGTGGAAGTGCCATTTGATAAGCATCAGCATATTTAGAATAGTATTGAGAAAGATATCTAACTATTCGAAAACCATATCTAAGATATAATCTATATGCAAGTATCCAGTTAATCGAGCGTAGTATCTACCTAGCATCTTATGTTCTGCTATTGATGAGGAGAAATAAAATGACCTATGATCACAATATCTAGAATGTGTCATCCCAGTTATATTTTAAATCTTTGACCTAGTTTCAATCAACTTTTACTTGTACACTGATTTTAATCATATCTAATCGAAAATAAACACTTCTCTCAGGATTTGAATATTGAGTCCGAATTTTTCCACGACCTGTTTTTTTTCTATTTTTTACGTTTAGGAATCAAACTAGCTAAATCAGATTGGAATTACAAACTTATAAATCTTGAAAAATATTTTTTAATCCTTTTATATATAGCAAAAGTCAAACTCGTTATGATTATTCTTGATGACATGAACAATTTGTCATCAGTCTTTTTAATAATGATCAGTTCCTCGAGTATTTACTCAAAAACAAGTAACCTAAGTCTTCCGGAGCGATTTATGGTTGTGTTACTGAATTTTCGATCTGAAATTTTGCATATACATAGTTTCCATAAGAAAAGAACTCAAACAATGAACGCTGAATGTGAAGTCCACTTTTATTGGTAACAAACAGCAAGAAAGATCAGCTATTTTGTTTCTCATTCTTTAAATATTAGTTAATCGAACTTCAATTCTTTTGATCAAAGTAGTCAAAGACCATATGATCAGTCTTTGAAAGATGGGAGTCGATTCACACGATTACTCTAATAGTTTTGATCGAGTGATAAACTTTGAAGATTCTTTAGTAGGGCAGCAACGTCCGCAATAATCATATGTGGAATATATCTCAAGGAAAATGTTTAATTACTCAAAGACTTTTGTGACATATTGGCATCAGAGCATCCTGAGCTCAATATTTCGGGGAAACGATTACTACATCTTGAAGTGCTGGTGCATTGTTTATGTGACCTCTCATAGATACTTTAGACTCGTCGATTCTAGCCCAAATAAATTTAATAGATACAACGCAATACTATCGTAAGTTAACAGCTTGTAAGCATAAAGGGTGTTTCATAATAACTGACGATAGATTGTTAATGATATTTTTCATATCTTTTCTTGACATAGAGTGCTGAAATTTTTATGATATACATATCTAATCAAGACCTTGTATACCTGAAAGTTTCAGCTTTCCAGCTAAACCTAGTAGTGAAATGCAGCGACAAGATTGAAATACGTAAATTTTCGTACTCCATATTTCAGGGTAGTTCCACGAGTAGTTAACTAAAAAATCAAAAAGTATTCAGAAAATTTTCTTTCGTACCAGAATTTGTAGAGATTTTTTTGCTTATCATTTTGTTAAAAAACTTTTCAAATTTCAGTGAGAAATGATGATGTTATAGTCAAAATATTTATCGTAAAAGCAGAAGATGTCAGATTTTTTTGATACAAATATCGGATACAATGTTCAATTGAGATTTATTCATCCTAATCGCCTGTATCTGAGAAACCGAATATAGAGTTTTGTAGAACAAACTTTCCTCTACAAAACCTCCTATGTCACATTTCTCCAAAGTATAGCCATTTTGAGATATGTACATCGACTTATCCTTACATTTTAAGCTATTTTACAGTGTTTAGTATTTTGACTATAACATCGTCATTTCTCAGAGAAATTTGAAATGCTTTTTTATCAAAATGTTCACCGAAAAAAACTGTACCAAATCTGATACGAAAGAAAATTATTTTGAATACTATATGATTTTTTGGTCGACTACCCATGAAACTACCATGCAAGATTTTCACAGTCAAAATATTGCAAAAATCGAGTACGAAAATTTATATATTTCAGTCTTGATGATGCATTTCACTACTAGGTTTAGCTAGAAAGCTGAAACTCTCAGGTATACAAGATCTTGATTAGATATGTATGTCATAAAAATTTCAGCACTCTATGTCAAGAAAAGATATGAAAAATATCATTAACAATCTATCGTCAGTTATTATGAAACACTCTTTATTTTTCTGTATCGGTTATAGATTATTTAAAAAAGAAAAGCTCAAATATTTGTGATATGATTTCATTTGCAAGCGACATCTTCATAGAACAATTTCTCGTTGGTCTTTATCCATCAACCATTCGAGAATCAAAATGAAGTTTTTTTTTAAACGGTCATTTTAACCACTATGTCGGCACAAGAAAGCAAGAAAAAACCATCATGTTCATCAGCATCATCGTCTTCGCCTCCAAAACGTTCCAAAAAAGAACATAAAAATGAAAAGGATGCTAATGACGTTCCAATTGAAGAGGTATTTAAGAGATAGTTTTCAAAAAAACAATTTCTTTGTGCTTGAGAATATTCCACTTTATATCAATCTTTCAGCAAAATGTAGTTTCCCAATTGAAACTTATTGCTCGTTCAGGTTCATACGGTGAATGATTGGGAAAATGCTGATCTCGGTGATGATCAACGAAAACAAAAATTTCTTCGTTTGATGGGTGCAAAGGTATTAAATAAAATATTTATCTTTAAAAAAAAAAAAAATTTTTATTTATCTAGAAACATAAAGATGAAACTCGAGTTGATAGACAAGATTCACATAGTAGCAATCATAATGATGATGTTTCATCGGAAAAAAAACATTCTCGTTCAAGTGAATTCAATTTCATAAGAAAAAAAAACAAAAGATTAATTTTCTATTTCAGAAGTCGAAAATGAAACAATTGAACGTGAATTAGAAAAACAATTTAATGAAGGTTTACAATCGAAAATTACACATACACATCATGAAGGTCTTGGTTTTCATGGTGATAATAGTAGTAGTGCATCAAGTTCAAGTGATTGGCATCATCAATCAACAAAAACAAAATTTGTACCAGCTAAAACAGAAGTTGGATCATCAATGGAACATGTTCAAGTAGATGACAATAAAAAAGAAGAAGACAAATCAAATGATAAACAAAATAAATCAAGTGAAAAACAAGAAAAAAAGAAAAAATCGAAATCATAAAATACAAAACAACATTGTTGTTAAGTTTTTCTATTTTATGTAAATAAAGACAAAAACAAAAAATGGCATACATGGAGAAACATAATTCGTCATCATACTAGAATAAAATAATTTATCTGACTAATATTTTTCATGTAACTGACATCTATTTTTGAGAAAATGATGAGTGTAAGTTGAAATAGAAGCTTTTGCGACTACCCCTCTGTCCTAGCAATTCGGAGTGAGTTTTTCTAATAACTCCGAGAAGTCTTCTTTTCTCACACTTGATATTAGAGATTTCATCGTACATGTAATACTGAAATGATTTGGTCATTTGGATCTTATGTAATATTTTGGTTTAGATAGTATATGTCAAAGTTCATCGAGAGAAAGGATCGTGTGTGCAAAACCTTACTGAGTAATCAAGTCAATGTGTATAACAGACGAATATTGTGATTGAACCGATAGAAACTATGCTGATCATTTATTGCTTGTTTTTGCCTAATTTTATGTTGAAGACCATAAATGTAGAGTATTTGAGTCATAAATAGTGTTTGTCGATAATGACTGCACTAGGAAATGGTTTTAGTCAATACACGTGTAATAAAATCGAAGTCACAGTTTATTCTTCTAATAAAACTGCATAAAATGAGTATTTAAAAAATAAAATTCTATTTCTAATATGATGTACTTTGAAAAATATTGGCGATCATCATACCTGTTTTACTATATTTCGATTTTGTCTTCTATTGAAATTTTGAAAACTTCAACTTACGTTCTACATTGTCAAAGGATTTATTTTCACAATTCATATTTATTGACATAATAAAAGTACTTCTTTAATGCTCAACTCTTTTCATTGATCAAGTTTTGTATTAGAAAAGTAAAATACTTAATCAGAGGTGTCCGTCAATCTTGAAAAATATTCAATTCTATCCAGCAGAGTTTCATTGTCTTATTTCTTGTTTTTCTTTGTTCACTTATTTTCCCCCTAAAATCCAATCCACTTTGTCAAAAATCTTTCAATCAGCCTTCTAAACAATCGGCTCTTTCACAACCCAAGCGATTTCTGCACTTGAGAAAATTTTAGTTTTCTTGGATAAAATATTATTGTCACCGATATATGAATATTTATTAAATCACTCAGGATGAAAAATATGAAATCCTGATATATTCGAAAGTGACCATATACGATCACTTTCTGTTGTAATACTGATACGATCATGTACGTCAGTGTTTGGTCGATTTGTTTATTTTTTTGACATGATACTCGTTTTAAATTCAACAAGATTTTAATTAATAAAACTTTAAAAGATATCTACAATTATATGAAATGTCTGATTTTTTTTTATTAACTTTTCTATGATTGCTAGACGATAAATTAAAATTAATAGATTAATTAGAATTTTTCCATTAACGCTTTCCAACTTAATCGAATAATACCTCTCCTACAGAAGAATCGAATGAAATTGACATTTTTTTCTGTTCGTTCTCATTTCTTTCGTCGAAAAAAACTGCATAGAGTAACCATGTGTTTAACTATGTCAACATATTAACAAATGTATAAAAGCATTTTGCGTTTTATTTTGAATTTTAAGCCATATTTCTTTCTTTTTTTTTTATTTAAGAAATATACCATACAGCTGCCATTACAATTGACTTAAAAATGTTAAGAGATACTGGAGAAGAACAAAATAAAAAAGTAAGAAAGACTCGAAAACATCGATCAATGTCACAACGACAAAAAGTAAGCAGCAGTCGATCATCCAACAGATCTGAAAGATCACCAAAAAGACATCGATCATCAACTATAAAACGAACTAATTCATCTAAATTAACTAAAGAGGAAATAAAATATCAACGTTTTGTTCGTGATCTCAAAAGAGATATGTAAATATGCATCATCTATTGTTTTATCATTATAATATATAATTTTTTTTCTTAGACAAATTCATTTAAATCAATGTTTACGTGAAAGTCGTTTTGATCCCTGTGGTAAACAACGTTCTCCAATTAATCCTTCACTCATCTCTAAACGATCAACGCCACTTTTCGATTCTCCTCGAACGAACGATTCCACTACAGCCGTCACGTAAATTAAAAAAATACAATTGAAAATTATTATCAATCTTTTTTCATAGTTCTAGCACCTATAATCAACAACGTTTAATGAAATTTTTAAAAAATAACGAAACGAAACGTCTTACAGCCGATGTTCAAACTCTTCTAGTACGTAACAAACCAACGTAATAAATTTTTATTTAAATTATTTATTCCAGTATAATCAATTTCTTACTAATTCAATTTCTCGTCGTCAATAAAATACTTTTATTTTATCTATTCAGACAGGACCAGGATTTAAAAATTTCTATACACATTTTATTCAATCACGACAACAACAAACCATTCTTAAAAATTCTTTACGTCCATTTGAAGAGTCAATTTTATTGCCAAATGAACAAGAATAAACATATTTATTTTTTATTTTGATTTATATTTTCTCTCATCCTTTACATACAAATGTGTTTTGTTCAAAGACAGGAAAAAGAAAAAAATGACCTAATAACAAATAAGCAAAGTCTCTGCTTTCTTTTTTTTCTTTTATATATGTACACGAAGTACAAAACAGAAAAAAAGAAAATGAATAAATAATGATAGACATAAGATTTGAACAACAGCAATAAGAAATAGTAATTCTAATCTAATATTTGTTATTACAATGCCCATCTGACATGCAAATAAAAATTCACAATATGTCAAAAAAATGATGCGTATATTATATATTACGAAGAAAAGAGATGAAGATGAGTTTTTTGAGCAATGAACATACAAAACCGGTTGCTATTTTGCTTTCAGCACCTGAGTAAAGATTCAAAAAAAAACATGGGTCATGAACAAAAACGGAAGAGGAATTAATCTCCCCTGAGATAAACAATATACGAATAATTCTATAGTTATACACAAAACAAATAGAAGTACAAATAAGAAAGATATACTTGCGAGAGAAAAGAAGAAACAAGAAACATATCTCATTGTAGATGAGATAGACAAAAAGAAAACTGAGATTATTAAAGAATAGAAAAACAAATGTAAACATTATCAAAATTTATCCCAAGCGACAGGTGATGGCGGTAGCTCATGTGCTTGAGCAACTTGTGACCTAAAATATAAAAAAATATTATTAATAGATGTTTTTCCTGTATAAAAAAAACACTGATTTTTGTTGCAATATATTTTCATTGCTATGATCTGAAAGCGGCTATCTTCATTCTTAATGGTCGTTGCTCTTAAAGTGCTTCAAGAAAAGCAATGCAGATTTTCAAGAAATGAAATCTTTAAGATTAGATTCATAGCGAAATTCTGTTTACTATTCTCATTTACAAAACCAGGAAGAAGAATACCCCTTCCAATCGGCTATTTTATAGAAGCTCCGTCTGACGCAGTTCTCACGCTCAATAGCATGAATTTTCCATATGTACACACTAACTAATTACAAGAGAAGATGTATGTCACAATGTAGTCACTCGACCACAGTAATCTCATTTAAAAAAAACATAATAATAATGGATATCTGGAAAGATTCGAAACAAAATATTCTTTGACTTCTCGATTGATTAAAACAAGCCAGCAGCAAATTTCGAAACTTCGCTCAGAAATATTCAAATGGTTTCCAAATGAAATTTGAACAAAACTAGTGACACTCATAGATTCAGAGATGTAAAATGTGAGTGTATCGTATTTAATATTGATTGCATGGTATTTTTTCTTTTTTTTTGACTACATCAAGTGTTTAGAAATATTTACGGATCAGCAATTAGATAATAATGGATGCCCTTCTCAGAAAGGATATTGTTTATTACATATTCTATTAGCAATTCTGTGACTCGCTACAATTCTTTAAAAATGTCACTGTGTTTCTTGTCAAAACTCTCCACATTAATAGATGCCTTTTAGAAAAGTAATGATCAAGATATCATTTTTTTTGTGGGAACTTTTTGTTCTTTCGTTTGACGCATTAGAACTCAATTTTCTACGGATTTCTATGAATTTCAAAATATCTTCCTGATCTTTTTATTCGGTTGAAGAATGAACGAACACTTTGTCTCAAAACTAATGAGTCCACCCGATAGAAATTAACTTTAATTAAATTCGATATTTTATTCTTTATATTTATAACATAACGTCGAAAATTGAACCAAACGATACATTCAAATGATACTCTGATAAAGCTGATGTAATGCAACAGTTCTCGGAGCATAAATTAAATTTTTCCCATAGTCCTCCGATAGGAATAGATCTATTCTTATCATGAAGTTTTTTCTGGCTCGAGTTAAAATAAAGTAATCTTTGCACGATAAGATCTTTAACATAGCAATGCTCAAATTCATATATGTTTATCTTGGTTTATGAACGCCAGTCTTTCCTACAGAAAGTTAAAGTCGATATAATCAACTTAAATAAAACAGCATAATTAATTCTAATCAATATTTCAAACAATCAGTCCTCTCAAACAAAAGTTTTCAAATTGAAATCATTCTACTTCTAATCTCTTGTGTTTGTATTAATTGTTTCGTACCAACAAACAATTACAAAATCATCAAATAGAACAAAATAAATAAATATTTACGTGGCAAATGTTTTATATAATGGCGAATCATGATTAAGTCTAAGTGGTACAGTATTAGCTTGACTGAATTCAGTCAGTAATTTATGCATATATTCTAAAAACATAAAATAATTTTTTTTATGGTATAAAATAATCAATTAATACCTTTAGCTTGACGTAAACTAGAAAAATTTTCATCCGAATCATCATATCGAAATCCTCGTAATGGTTCAAGATTAACTGTATATTGTCGTCCGTTAGGTGTTGAAAAACAACAACGACACATACATGAGTGATAACGAATACGTCCTTCATGAATATAATTATTTTCTAAAAGAAAAATCTTCTATTTTCTCAAATATCTTTTCTTTTTTTTTTTGTGTTTAACTTTTACCAAGTGCTTGATTTATAGTAATTCGTTTTCTTGGATCCCATGTTAACATTCGTAATAAAAGTTGTACCGCTTCATGAGTAACATTTTTTGACAAAGAATAAAGTGTATTTACTTTTGGTGCACGCCAAGTTTTCGATAATATATAAGATTTAGCACCATCACATGCCGACGAAATTTCATCTAATGGTGGACTACCAAGTAAATTAAATATTAAATCAAGCTAAAACAAAAACAGATTTCCATTAATGAATTATTCAATAAAAAACGGAAACTTAGAATAACAAGATATACAAACCTACACAAGCGTCGAATTTATAGATTTAGTTATTCAAGAGTCATGAGTATCCTACTCGAAACTCTCAGCTGATTTTTCAAGCAATTTATGTAAAACAAAATCGCATTTTTGTTTTATAAATTTGATTAAGAAAACATCTTACTCATCCATATTTTTTATTTCGGTTGGTGATGTTACCTAGATAGAAAACTTCGCTTAACTTTAATAAATTTCTCCGTTCAGTGTTTTGCTCACTATAGCTTATGTATTTCGACATGCATTTATCAATCGTCCTGCCATCGATTGATGGTTGTTTCTCAAAGTTTCGGAGTAGAATCAATACTCTTAAGGATTAGAGAACTCGAATGAAAGACAACTCTAGTGGAATATTTCAACGTAAAGTCTTGCTCATTTTGTAAGGATCATGACAAAGATCTGTTCCCATTGCCACAATAACGGTACATATTATGGGAGCTCAATATTCTTTGATTTTATAAGGAAATAAAAAGCAGACCATTTAAAACCAAGCGTAGTTGTCCATCTAACAGAAAGAAATTTTATCTTTGTCAGCGACTTCTTAGTCTCTGTACATATCTATATACACTCACCTTAGTTAAATCCAGATAGTATGAGTTCACACGATGGGTTACAATTGAGTGAGTTCCCTCACTAGCTCTATACATAGACAATTTCGCACACTGATAATCAAAAACATGTATCAACAGTTCTCTATCAGGTTTATTTATCGTTATTTTATACATAAATCTCTCGATTAATTGATGTACCTGTTTAAGAGGTGATGATGCTTGAAATAAAATCCTTCTGCCAAGTAGTTCTGCGAAAATACAACCGACACTCCAAACATCAATTGCATATGAATAATGTTGAGCACCAAGTAATAATTCAGGTGCACGATAATATTGTGTTACTACTTCTTGTGTCATACGTTTAGTTTTATCTAATTCTTCCGTTCGAGCTAAACCAAAATCACAAATCTAAAAAAACAAATAAATAATCTATTTTAAGAAACAAAATTAGTAATTTAACTTACTTTTAATAAACAATCGCTATTGACTAAAAGATTTCCAGGCTAAATAGAATAAATTAAAATTAGACAAAAAACTTTTATATAACTAACAAACGATAAATAACCTTTAGATCTCGATGAATAACACCAGCTGAATGAAGAAATTTAAGTCCTAAAAAGAAGCTCGAAGATTATAAAACTGAATTGAATTATTTTACCTCGAAGTATTTGATAAAGAAAAACTTTACAATGATCTATTGATAATGCTTGTTGTGAAACAATTATTTTATGTAAATCAATCTGCATTAATTCTGTTAAAATATATCTAAAACAAAACCATTCTCTCTCTTTCTCTTTTTCTAAATCGATTATCGTTTTTTGTATAACTTACACTTCATTAAATAATTCTATTTGACTAGGTGGTTGAAGAATATCAACAGCTTGAAGAATCTTAAGAAATAATATAAATTTATGATTTAATTCAAAAAAAAACAATTATAGTTACATTATCATGTCGAAATGTACATAACATCTTAATTTCTCTAAATGCTCGTCTAGCAGCTATAACTGATTGAAAAACATGAGGCATTTTTTTTAATGCAACACGTCGACTTGTTCGTGGATCAGTAACTGCCCATATAACTCCAAATGCACCATAACCAATAAGAAAATCTATAAGAACAAAACATCAATCAATGAATTCTTAATGAAATCGACCATTTACCTCCAGGTTCATTTTCATTAGTTGCTGTTGTAGTGGTTGTGGACGAAGCAACTGCCGCTGATGAATTTGATGATGATGTACTTGATGATGAATATGATGGTGTGCCAGAATTATTTGTATAATAATGTTGTTGTTTGTTTTTAGCTGTGCCATGTGTCATTGAGATCTATTTAAAATAAAAAAAAATATTAGAACAAAAATATATTCAATCATTGCACAAACCATTATTTGATTGAACTTTTTCTTGTTTTGTTTTTTAATTTGGGACAAAGATTGACTTCGTTTTGCACAACATATTTGTCAATGTTGTTGTTACTCTAAGAAGAAGAAACAAAAAAAGTCGAACGATAAAACATGCCAGACAAACTATCGACAACGGAACAGCATAAAAAAAACATATGGCCTATCATGGTAAACGGACGGACAAAAATGGACGACCGATC